GGGGAACATCGAGGACTTGAGTGGTATTCTCTACCGGCAGTCCTACAAAATTGGGGGCTCAGCCAGGAATTTCAACGAGTGGAGAGCTAACAGAAATTAAAAGCTGATGTTTGGAAGCAGTAAAGCAGCGCAGTGAAAAGTATTTTACCGACACAGAAAAGAAGGTGCAGATGAATATGTGCATAAAATGTTTAAATTGTCGCTGCGTCCAGTTGTGAGCAGAGCATAAGCTTCGAAACTATTGCGGAATTCATCAAAGTACGCACATTTCGTAGTTAAAATCCAAGAAAGCATTTTTCGTACAGCTATATCAGCTACAATACACCGAGACGCCAAAAAGCAGCGCAGTCGACGTCAAGAATTGTACATCGAAGTCGACACCACAGCGAAGTTAACGCCGGTAGTCAAAGCAGCGAAGTCGACACAGCGAAACACTTCAGCAGCAGCCGAGGATCGTCAAGTAGAAACAGCATACAATATTCAAATTCGTAACCGACATAAAGCATCGGGTATTGGACGTTGGCGAAAACCGAAGATGAGCATCAATCAAAGCGAGAAAGAAGAAAATAGACAGGAGATAGAAAGTAGGTAAGAAGTAGATTTCATATGCAAGTTTGCAAAGACAGAAAAAGCAAGAAGAACTTCAAGTTGAAAGAAAAAGCTCGATAGAGTAAAGATGTGTAAATGAAGAATGATGTAAGAAGTTAAATGCTCAAATGAGTGAAGTTGTAAAGACAAATTTAAAAGTTGCTCAAAGAAGTTTTAAGATGAAATAAGACGAAGATGTGAAAAAGGTGTTTGCAAAAGCAAAAGAAGAAGTCGACAAATAAATTGATTGAGTCGAGAAATTGAATTTAAAGAAGGCAAATGCGAATGCAGTAAAGTTGTGAAATCGAAAACTAAGAAGTAAATTCTAATAAGATGTATAGGGATACGATTTGAAAACAAACATACGAGATAAAGTTTGGACGCAAATAAAGCGAATTTTAATAGGAAGTAAATTCTAATAAGAAATAAAGGGAAAGTGAATACTAGAAGTTAAGAATAAGAGTTTAAAATAACACAAGGTAAACAAAGAATGTGAAATGAACTAAAAGCGTAAAGAGAATAAATTCTAATAAGAAGTATTGCAAATAGAAGTACGATAAATAAGGTTGCTTTTGATTTGTGTAAAAGTTAATTTGAATTCAAATAATTTATTGATTTAAAGAGAATCGAAACAATATTTCTTTTAAAGAAAATTACTAGTCTGTAAGCAATAAAACTATAATCATACTTTTGTAAAGAGTACTTGCTGGATAATTTAGTATGGACGCAGACGAGTTGATGACGTTGACGGTTAATGGACTTAAAGACAAGTTACGGGAGTTGGGGATTTCGACTTCAGGACAGAAGCGTGAGCTTCAAGACAGACTACTCCAGCACTACGGTTTGTCGCGAAACGAGGCTAGTGATAATGAGTCCAATCAGTCGGTATATAACGATGTTGAAGAAAGCAACAATCTTTTGCCTTCTCGGTCCTTTATGCATCAACAACAGTTCACCCTCAAAGATTTGGGTGATTGTATTAGTCCCTTCACCGGAGAAGGATCCGTTGATATTAAGTTTTGGGTTAATGAATTCGAAATGAACGCAGCTATTGTTAAGTGGAATGATTTGCAAAAATTTGTATACGGTAAGCAGCTTCTGCGCGGTGCTGCTAAACTATTTATTAAAAGTCAAAGCAATGTTAACAGTTGGGTATCGTTAAAAACTGCTTTAATTAACGAATTTTGTTGTAAATTGTCTTCATCGGAAGTTCATAAAATTTTGAAGAATCGACGTAAGAACGCAAATGAAACGTTTCGCGAATACCTGTACAATATTATTGAGATTGGCAAACAGATTAATTTGGAAGAGGCAAGCATTATCGATTATTTCATAGAGGGAATTCCCGATTCTAAATTTAACAAGACTGTGTTGTATCAAGCAAAGAGTGTTGAGGATTTAAAAGAACAAGTGAAAATTTATGAAAAGATACGCAGGTCCAATGTAGCTCTAGGTAAAGTAGAATCAAACGATACAGCGAAAGATAAGGGCAGCTCAGGTGTAAAACCAAAAGCAGAATTGGTTAAAAGGTGTTTTAAGTGTGGCGACAAAGCGCATATGGCAGCTCAGTGTTCACAAAAGCAGTTTAAATGTTTTAAGTGCAACGAGATGGGTCATCGCTCTTTCGAATGCAAGGGCAAGGGATCCAAAGAAACAAAAAAAGAACCGAGTTCAGTCAACACATTGACAGATGAGATCTTTCAACCGTTTTTGAATAGTGTGAAAAGTGAGTTGCATTTTAAGACCGTTAAAATAAATGACTTTAGCTTTGAAGCACTAATCGATTCAGGGTGTTCACTTAATTTAATCCGATATGATACGCTTTTAATGAGCGGGTGCGAGACAAAGTTGGGTGGTGATAAGAAGAAGCTTTACACTGCATGTGCGAACGTTATTGAAACAATAGGCAGCTTCGAAACCTTGATGCACGTAGATAACTTATCGTTAAATATAGTTTTCCATGTAGTCAGAGAACAGGACATTCAGTTCGCAGGAATGATAGGAAAGGCCATTCTTAAAGATGTTGACATTATATTAACGGATGAAGAAGTTCTTTTTAAGAAAAAAGATTCGGCCGGTAAGCCAATATTTAAAGACAGTCAAGCAACAGCGGATGCTGAAAAGTTTAAACTCGATAGTAAGGAAGTTAGTTTAGAAAAGTCGGAGGACAAACAAGGGTGGATTCAAGAGTTCGATGTCATGAATTTAACAGAGATGAAGGATAAGCCTACACTGAATTTGGAGTATTTAGGAAAGAGTTTTGCTAAAGCGGTAGAAAGTTTAGTTAGCGCATACGCACCTGCAGGGAATTGTCCATCGCCAGTAAAAATGCAAATAGTATTATCAGACGAAATACCTGTATATCAACGTCCGCGACGTATGCCCTTTGACGACCGACGATTTGTTGATAAGCAAATAGAGGAGTGGTTACAAGAAGGAATAATTCAGCCCAGTAGCTCTAATTATGCTTCGCCCATTGTAGTTGTCCCTAAGAAAGATGGAAGTAAGCGCTTATGTTGCGACTATAGGCGATTGAATCAGAAAATCTTAAGGGACAATTTCCCTATGGTCTTAATGGATGATGTTTTAGATAGGCTCCAAGGGGGTCGAGTTTTTACAACACTAGATTTGTCCAATGGGTTTTTTCACGTGCCTGTAGAGCCACAATCAATGAAGTACACGTCATTCATCTCTAGCAACGGACAATACGAATTTCGCTTTGTACCTTTCGGTATTTGCAACTCACCTGCGGTCTTCTGTAGGTATATAAACGCTGTATTTAGGACGCTAATCCAGAAAGGAACAGTAGTTACATATATGGATGATTTAATAATTCCTTCTAAAGATGAGGCTGAAGGTATAGAGAAGTTTAAAGAGGTATTGCAGGTCTGTAGGGCATATGGATTAAAAATAAAGTGGTCGAAGTGCCAATTTCTCAGCAGGACAGTAGAGTTTTTAGGGTACATTATTAAAGCTGGCACCATACAAATCTCAGAAGACAAGACAGCGGCAGTGCGAAATTTCCCCTTACCATCGGACAAGAAGAGTTTGCAGAGGTTTTTGGGCTTAACGTCATACTTCCGACGTTTTATAGCAAGCTATGCGTTAATTGCTAGACCGTTATCAAATCTATTGAGAAAAGACGTCGTTTTCAAGTTGGGTGAAGAACAGGTAGCCGCTTTCGAGCAGCTAAAGACGCACTTGCAAAAAGCACCGGTATTGCGAATTTTTTCCCAAAGTGCAGTAACCGAAGTCCATACCGACGCCAGTAAGTACGGGTATGGAGCCATGTTACTACAAATGGATCCCGATGATCAAAAGCTACATCCGGTACAGTACATGAGCAGGAAAACGAAACCGGTAGAAGAAAACTATCCAGCTTATGAACTTGAAGTACTAGCAATTATCGAGGCTCTAAAAAAATGGAGGATATATTTGTTGGGCATCAAGTTTAAAATCGTAACGGACTGCAACGCCTTTACCATGACTCTTAAGAGAGAAGATGTCCCACCGAAGATTGCAAGATGGGCGTTGTTCCTTCAAGATTTTAATTACGAAATCGAGCATCGTGCGGGGACGAGAATGGCTCATGTCGACGCGTTGAGCAGAGTATATTGTTTGATGCTTGAAGACTCACTAAAGTTTCGCCTTAAACAAGCTCAGCTAAAAGATCAATGGACGAAGGCAGTACGAAAAATCTTAGAAAAAGACGAATACAACGATTTTTATATTAAATATGATATCCTTTTTAAAAATCCTGAAAAGGAACTAATAGTTGTACCAGTACTTATGGAGGAGGAAATAATAAAAATGGCACACAGGCAAGGGCATTTCTCGACAAAGAAAACCCAAGACGTATTGGAGAAAACTTTTTATATTCCTCAGATCAGTTCCAAAGTTGGAAAAATAGTTCAGAGCTGCATTGAATGCATTGTAAACGAAGCAAAGTCTGGTAAGAAAGAAGGGTTTCTCAATACCATAAACAAAGAAGATAAACCGTTAGGAACGTACCATGTTGACCATGTGGGGCCACTAGAAACGACCAGTAAGTCGTACAACTACATTTTGGTGGTGGTCGATGCATTTAGTAAGTTCGTGTGGTTGTATCCAACCAAAAATACGGGAGCGGAAGCGGTGGTAGAAAGACTAAAGAAACAAGCCGCGGTATTTGGCAACCCTAGGCGTATTATTACGGATCGGGGCGCTGCCTTTACATCGAATATGTTTAAGGAATATTGCGAAAGTGAGAATATTCAGCATCTGCTGATAACGACTGGTGTCCCACGGGGAAACGGCCAGGTGGAGAGAATACATAAGGTCGTTATACCTATGTTATCGAAACTGTGTACAGAAACTCCTACTGGTTGGTATAAGCACATAGATCGAGTACAACAGTTTATAAATAAGACGTCGCCACGAAGCACAAAGCAGTCGCCTTTCAAAATATTGACTGGACTTGAGATGCGTACGGCCAATATGCCGGAGCTTCAAGACCTCCTTGAAGACGCCGCCGTTGATGAACTGAATGAAGATCGCGAGGTTGTACGGAAGGAAGCTAAGGAAAACATATTAAAAATTCAAGAGGAAAATCGTAGGTCATATAATCTTCGGCGTAGAAAGGAAACTAATTATAATATAAATGACTTGGTAGCAGTTAAGAGAACTCAATTTGGGGCGGGGTTAAAATTGAAAGCAAAGTTTTTAGGCCCTTATAAGATCGTAAAGAAACTTAGCCATGGTCGATACGAGGTTGAAAAGGTAGGAGATCATGAGGGACCGGGGAAGACATCAACTGTTGCAGAGTATATGAAAAAATGGACTAATTCATTCGAGGGCGAATGACTGAGCAGGACGGCCGAATGTAGTGCTGGATGTAGGGTACCGGACTGATGACAGATGACATTT